TCATCACAGAACATCTATTGACCAGGTGTGCGTTCATGGAATTTTGAGAGCGGGCTTAAAATGCAAGCCCATTTTCGATTTAATATTTCCTTACTTCACAAATAAAAACGGCAATCAGTTGTTACATGTAACACAACCAACATTTAGTCCTGTGGCCTTTAAGCTTAAAATTAAAACACACTGTTTCATTCAAAAAACACAAGTGAAGCAAAACAAAGACAGGCAAAGAAGCCCCGCTCTGCCTAGGTGATGATAGACTCCTGTGCATTTATTCTCCTAGTGGATGTGTGTGCTGCCACCACAAGGAAAAATGCAGAGGTGTTACAAATAAAAGAGAAATTTCAAAAGGCTTTTATCCAGATAACTCTGCTTCTTTTGGGATTTAAGGAAAACACATTAATCCTCGAGAAACCCAATGTACTTTGCAAATTAAATATTCTTTTGCCAAATGAAATATTTGGCTAAACAATAAATAGAGTTTTTCATTTACAAAAATTAAGTTGAATCTTTTTTCAACGAGAGAAATAAGTAGGTGTTACAAAATGAAAAGTGTCTTTTGTTTCTTATAGAAATAACCCTAATATCCACATTAATATTTATCAAGCATGTTATTTCCTCCTTTTAGAAGACTTTCGCTGAACTTCAAATTATTTCTAGGATGACCTTCCCAAGATTCTAATTAAATGCTTGAAATACAAATAGCTCATGCAGAATGAGTCAGACTCCATGCACGGACATGATGAGATGCCATATTTCACTTAGGGCCAAATGCTTATACCTGGTCTATTGGAAGGGACAATGGTATCAACACAAGAAATAATGTACAAACAACAACAGTATGATTATTGCTACTAGCATTTTTATTACCACTCTGTCCATGGCATTTATTGAGTATTTTGCATGTTAATGTAATTTCCCTAATAGCGTTATGAAGTGGGTATAATCCTCATTTTATATATAAGAATACTAAAGTGCAGAAAACTTAGGCATTATAGTAAGTCATGAGCAGTCTCACTTGCAAGTTAGACTCTTTCCACTCTGCCATGGAGGTAAATAGTTTTAATCACTGGTAAGAAGTCAGGAATCAGCTCAAGGGTAGCTAAGAAGGTAAGTGTTAATGAGGGCAGAAGGATGGGGCAGCTGTGAAATGGCAGCTCAGGGAAGGTAAGGAGGCAGCAGTGAGTGAGTGGTGTAGACTCATACTTGTCGGTGCAGGTGTGAGCATGGTGGTGCAGGGCTGGTGAAGGGGAGGAGGAGCTGAAGTAGCCTGAGCTCCAGACTCTCAGAGGTGAGCCCTGCACCTGGAGCACCCAGGTCTATAGACCCTCTTTGTCACTGCTTGTTCCCTCTATGACCTTGGGTAAGTTACTGCATTGCTGTGCCTCGGCTTCTCCATCTGTAAAATGGACTTGGGGTAAGGGATCTCTTAGACTTTTTAAAAGTAAAGCTTCAGGAAGCATTTAGTAAGTGTTCAGAAATGTCAGGGGTAAAAAAGAAAGAGAGGGTTTGAATTGGTAGTAACAGGTCTGTAAAGCACAGTGAAGGAAGTGAAATATTGTTCTTGAAGTGGGGCTGGGGACGGCACACACTCAATCCTTCAATAAAAGAACAGGTGTAATCGCTATGCCCAAGGCCCCCTGCTGGGAACTTTGGGGAGTATCACATAAAACATGGCACCTGCTATAATCTGGATGGTGAATAAAACACACACACACATTTATACGAAAGCTGAAAATGATACATGCAGCACCTGGAAGACAGAAATGGGATCTAGACACTAAGCTTCTCAGGTTAGGGTGTAGGAAAGGCTTCTGGGAAATTCGGAGCCACAGCACTGCTGAGGGATGAGATCTGAAAGCAGGATGTGTTCAGTGCATAGCGGAGTCACCCAGGGAAACTAGTGGAAATGAGGGGTGTCCACTCCCAACCTCAGAGACACAGCAGGTTTGGGGGTTTCCCAGAAACCACTCAGAACAACCAACACAGGTGATTCTGTTGCAGGTGGTGGGTGCGCCCCACTTGGAAGGGGTACTGAGTAGAACTCGGTGTGGGTCTGCACAAAAAGCACCCGCATGTTTGAGGGCTGGTGTAGGGAGAGAGGGGGTAGGGCTGGACAGATGGTTGGGGGCTGGAACCAGATGGTTGGTCCTGTTTTGGGAGCAGGGAGGACAAGGAGAAAATGAGGGTAGTGCTAGAAAGCTGGATGTCCGTGGAAAGCTAATGTGATAGCCAAGCTTGGCTCCATGGTCAGGATGGCAGATGATGGTTTTGGCAGGGGTTAAATAGGCAGAGGGGACAGGTTGAGTCTTAAGTGAGATCCCTGATAGGGAGGAGGAGTTTGGGAAAGAACAGGGACCCTGCCCTGCCGAAGGGGACCATAGGCAGGAGTCAGCCAAGTAAAAACCCCAAAAGCTGAGAAGAGGACTTCTGGGCAAAGGCTCTATCAGAGGCCACAGACAGGACGTGGAGAATGAATGCTCAGAGGCAGCATCAGCACCAGGAAGACAGGAGGACACATTAGTGTGGTAGGGACAGCGGAGGATGGGCCAATGCAACATGCTGAATATCGAACAGGTCTTTATATGGTGGTGCCTCTGAGGACCTCTGCTCGGAGGCCCTGCCAAGGGATGGTAGGTGGCCTTTGGAGAGCTAGGATTTGGAGTGACTGTGATCAGGTCAAGAGCCCTACATGGTACACAACAGGGTTTCAGCTGGAGAGACCTCAGAATTAGTCCTGGAATTAGGGTGAGGAGAGGGAGGCAACCACTTTGGGCATAAGGAGGTACCAAGAAGAAGCTCATCAACCATGAAAAATAATCCCTAATGCAATGGTTTTAAAAATCAAGTTAATGCACAAAAATCCAGAATGAACTAAAATATTGAAATGTTAAATGAAGACAGACAAGGATGTGGACTGACCTGTCCCTCGCAATCATATCTTGAGGTCCTAAAACTCTCCCCCCAATCTCTCTCCCCACCCGCCGCCCTCCTGCCACGTGAGGACAGAGGAAGAAGGTGGCCATCTCTGAGCCAGGAAAAAAGCGCTCACCATGAACCGTGTTGGGCAGAACCTTGATCTAGTTTGTTTTATTGCTTCTTTTTTTTTACTTTTCCTTATTACTCAAGTAATGCATATCCATTAAAAATAACTGCCATAATTGCCAGTGACACATCAGACACAGGATTAATCTCCTAAATATATAAAGAACTCAACATTAGGAAGGCAAACAGTCCAATTAAAAAGGGCAAAGGACCTGAATAGGCACTTCTCCAAGGAAGACATACAGATGGCCCACATACATACAAAAAATTGTTCAACACCACTAGCAATCAGAGAGATGCCAATGAAAACCACAGTGAGATGCCACCTCACACCTGCCAAAATGGTTATCATTAATAAATCAACAAATAGCAAGTACTGGCAAGGATGTGGAGCAAACAGAACCCTAGTGAACTTTGGTAGGAATGCAGACTGGTGCAACCACTCTGGAAAACAATACTGAGTTTACTCAAAAAATTAAAAATGGACCTGCCTTTTGACCCAATGATTCCACTTCTGGGAATACATCCAAAGAATCCTGAAACAGCAACTCAAAAGAATATATGCACCCCTATGTTCATAGCAGCGTTATTTACAATAGCTAAGATTTGGAAACAGCCTAAGTGTCCATCAGTAGATGAGTGGATAAAAAAACTGTAGTTCATTTATACAATGGAATATTATGCAGCTGTAAAAAAGAAGGAATTCTTACCTTTTGCAAAAGCATTGATGGAACTGGAGACTATTATGCTGAGTGGAATAAGCCAGGCAATGAAAGACAAATACCATATGATCTCACTTATAACTCAAATCTAAGGAACAAAATAAACTAACGAGCAAAACAGAGTTAGAGGCACATAACGAGGGACAGACTGGTAGCTGTCAGAGGGGAGAAGGGAGGATGGGACTGAATGAAAGAAGGTGAAGGGATTAGACAAAGAACATATATGCATCACCCACAGACATGAACAACAGTGTGGGGATTGTGCGTGGGGAGGGAGGACTGGGGGGCAGGGGGCAAAGGGGGAAAATTGGGACAACTGTAATAGAATAAACAATAAAAAATTTTAAAAAAATCTGAAAGCAAACACCTGAGTAGACCAAACAGAATACATATCACCTCATTCACCTGGAAAAATGCTAGTGTTAATCTTGAGTTGGACATTTCACATTCTATTCTGTGCCCATGATGGGGGGAAAAAAAAAAGGGAAGGAAGACCCTGTCTTGATGTTCCTGGAGGAGGGAGCTCTGTTTTAGCTCACCGCTGTCCCTGTCTCACTCCGTCCATGGGAGGTAGGTGTGGGAGAGGAAGCTGAGCATATGGGGCTCAGCCCTCTGGGGGACACCACCTGCCTTCAGCGAGCTGTGCGCTGGTAAGGTCTGGTCCTCCATGCTGCACCCACCACATCTGTCCCCAGAAAACCTGTGCTGAGGCTCCTCAGGGAGCCCCCTGCCCTATGGGGAAAGGGGGTCTTGTTTATGGATCCACAAGTTACATAAATATATCTACACACACTCCTATAGAAACAAAATAAAACATAATAGAAATCTCCCTCAAAAATCCTAGGTGACTGAAGACTCTCAATTTCATCCAAATCACTTTTTCAACCAAATTTCTATTTGGTCAGCTTGGTTTTTCACAGCATGTCTTAAACCAAAAGATAAGAGTCCTCCTGTAGTGAGCCACTTTTACATAAACAGCTCTAATGGTCTACGTTTTGCATATTTATCTGGTCTCAAGCAGCAAGCAGAGGGGTTGGATTTTTCTTTCCCTGTCCCCCAGAGAAAGTTCAGTGAAGTCTCCGGAATTCTCTTCTTTCTCATAAGACCTTAACTACTGAGATTTAGGTGTGCACACAGAACAGTGTATGGTCACTACATGACCGTTTTGGTTCTGTGGATGACTCGTGGGTGGAGCTGAGGCTCCCGCGTGACCTCGTGCGGTGCACACATCTGTACCTGGGCATGCTCCTGGCTGGGCACGGCGCTCAGGCCCGTCGCTGCCATGTATGTGCTGCCAATGGTCTTGATCTTTTCAACTCCACTGAATTTTGGCTTGGATAGCAGCTGCGAGGCAATGACAATCATTTAGTTATTCCAGCAATTTTCACCCAGTGTGCCACAAGAATTTTTAAAATGCTTAAAAAACCTGACTATTTAGAGGGGCACTGACCTCTTTTCCCTTAGACTGTCAAATTTTAAAAAATGATAATATTTAATACAGCAATAGCTGTCTGGTGTATCAATCAAACTTCTACCTATTTTTTGTCAGATCAGCAAAAATGTATTTTTTTTAGTGTGCTGCAGAATTTTAGTAATTAGTTTATGTGTGTCATGAGATGAAAAATAGTTGAGTGTTGACCCAAGGTCAAGCACTTTCTAGAGACACCCTCAAATTCTAGTTCACAGCAATAGTAACATGAGATTTTTCAACCACTGCTTTTTACCCTTTGACCTTGGGCTTTGTTGGGAAAGAACACTTTATGAATTTCACAAAGAAATATCCTTGGAAGGAAATGCAGTATGATTTGCCTCCAATTAACATGAATTACCTTTTCAAATTTGCTAGTGAAGGAACCAGGATACATTAAAATGCATGTGATAGTGTGTTTTTTTTGCAGGGGGCGGGGCGTCTACTCAAGTCTGTTCTTTTTTTTTCTTTTTCCCTTTTTTAAAATTTATTTATTTTTTCAGATACATTTGTCTCTGCCTACCCCCCACCACTTTCCCTTGCCCCCTCCCTCCCTCTCTCCCTCCCTCAGCTCTTCCCCTTTGGTTTTGTCCATGAGTCCTTGCTATATGTTCCTTGACTTTCCCCTTCGCTTCCTCTTCCCCGCCCCCCCTCCCTTCTTCCCTCTTGTCTCTGGTTTTAAATAAGAGAACAAGTGAAGGAAGGTATGTCTGCTCTGGAGGACAATGGGATCAACCAATGACCAGGATGTCTTCCTGACCCTTCCTTGGTACTCCTGCTTTCAAAGAAGTTTCTTTCAAGATTACATATCATAGACTTTAAGACAGGTGAGCAAATCCTCATACCACATATCCAAGGGCCAATCCAATATGAAAGGGCACTGTCATTCACCCACTGGTGCTGGGGAACATTTATTTTACTGAGGGGCAGCTAGAGGAAATATACCACCATTTTTCACTATGAACTCAGCGTAACAGTGGAAATCTCTAGTTGTCAGTATTTTACCATGAGTCTTGAGTCAACTTCATGATGATGATGGTGGTAGTAGAGAAATGTAGAGAAATGTACAGGTTCCACAAAACATTTAGAAGTTTGCCTGAAATCATCATATTACATAATTTCATCACTATATTTCCAAGTTCCATGAATCATGATGAACTTATGTTCATGGATGTCAAGTTTTCTATATTTTGCTTCATATTTACAAGAATGATGTAGCACCAACATTCTTAAAACCAGTGGTGTGTTTGCTTTTATCAGAAAACAAAACACATTATTCTTTATGTAGGCAGAATATTGAAAAATGACACCCATTTCAAATTCTAAAAAATATGCTTTCTCCCTTCTAAAATATATTATCCCAGGTACGTATTACTCTTTCAATAATAAAGCATATCATCCATGCACAGTACATATCTGACAGATATCTGACAGAGACCTTGGAATATGCACAGATAGACAGGCCAATAATCTACTATGATAAATAGATTCACTGCATTTTTTTATATAAAAATGGATCGGCAAGTATTTTCCCTGGAGCTCAAGCCTTTCAAGATAATTAATGAGCACACTGGATAGGTATTTTATTGAACAGCTTTTGGTAGTGGTTCCTAGCAATCATACCATCTCCCAAATAAAAGACATTTATTTCTCCAAAATTTTCAGGGACTTAAATAGAGCAAAAGGCTTTAACTCAGCGATGAGATAGTACACCAAAGGACAAGTTTTAAGATACAGCATAATGAACAAGTGTAAATGCCCTGGCCATGGGAATGCCCACGTGTGGGGCTGGGGTTGCCCTTGCCCTTCAAGGGTTACTCTCAAGCACCTACATCATCAAAGTCGGCGATGATCTCGTTCAGGAGCCGCAGGCACTCCAAGCCCTCCTTGTTGACATCTGATTCTGTGTAGAATTCTTTGAAATCCGGGATGGAGGCAAACATAACGCAGACACAGTCATAGGACTGGTGGTATAACTCCTGCCCAGGAGAAAAGGAAGAGCTCAGCACCATGCTCCTAATGCCAGTGTTTCCTTCCACTAGAATCAGTAAGAAGCCACCCAGCCCCACACCACCTGTCCCACTCCAATGCCAGGCCCATTCCAGAGAATGGCCATTGATCACAGGTGAAGGCTTCTAATAAGCTAGATGCAGGCTCAGAATCCTCAACCTGCTGCTACTACCAGCTGACATGAGGTGCCCTTCCAGTTAAAGCTCCCTGGCATCTCTACCTTAGGTCTCTCTTACAAGAGACCACAGACTTCTGACTTAGGAAAAAAGTGTTCTTTTAGCAACTAAAGGGAAACAACATGATTTCTCTAATAATTACATCATCCTAAAATGACTCATCATGGCTTCATTATTTGGATTGAGGTCTTTATTCACGTCCCTTTTGAGTGTCTTCTGAAAGGAGCAGATGAAACTCATCCAGTTACTTCCTAGTTACAGCAAAAGGAACCAGTGAAGCAACTCAGGCTACATATCATATTGCATTATACACCAACAATATTTAATACAGATATCTGTTTGTTTTTAAATAGAAGGAGGCTCATAGTTCTTTGTTCTTGGACATGAATAGAATACAGTGTTTCGTAAGCATAACTTCAAGATGTTTTCATAATTTTCCCAACACAGAGTTAAACCTTCAAATTCAGTCAAAGTTTCAGAAAGAATGGCAGTCATGTGGACATGGGGCTAATCCTAGGAATGAGGATTTGCCCTCCCCCTGGCACTGGCTCATCAGGGCACTTGGATGGCTCAACAAACACAGGATGCCAGGTGTCATGGGTGGTGCAGTGCACCATGGGAAATGCTCCCTCCCTCCACTAGGGAACGTGAGGCCACTTCTGAAAAACAAGATGACAGCCCTCTGAATGAGAAAGAATGGCAGCAGCTGCTGCCTCCTGGGTGCCTGGCAGGGTGAGGAAATCCACTCTGCATGGATGCTATCAGTGAGCTCTGTCCACTGAGGTACCCAGATGAATCCCTTGGCAGAGAGTGAGCACTTCAACAGCACCACAACTCCAAGATGTCCTCTCAGAAGACCCTTTCTTCCCCCACTGAGGTCTCACAACAAACACATCAGGGCAATAGTGACCCATAGAAGGTCACAACTACTTCCTGGAAAAGCTGGACTCATGTCGTCTTCCTGTTCTCAGGGCCAACCACTTCGTAATGCTGTCTTCTACTCAAAATACATGAACAAAAGAATCAATGTTTTCCTTTTCTACTCTGCTTTCAATATGGCTGACCTGGCTCATTGTGCAGACCTGTACTTTCTCTCTCTGCCAATTGTTTCTGTGAACGTTTATATCCTGGAAAGACAACCTGTGCATATGTGATTACCAAGCTTAGATTCCAGCAATGCTAAGCCAGGGTAAAAATACCAATTTTACAAAAAATAGTATAAATTCTACTGACTTTCCTGCTCTTAAGGAAAATGGGTACATCTAGAAAAACAGAAGGCTGGGCGGCCCCACTGACCAATTGAACCTCATCCATCCTCTCGGGTGGGCTCCGAGCATGTGCATCTTTTCAAAAGCTTACATAAATTATCCAGCTGTGCAGCTGTGGTTATGGACCACGGGCTAAGTGAGGAAATGGAAGGTCAAGGTTGTTGGATGACCCACCAAGGCTCCCAGCTGGCTCTACTAATCTTTGGATTCCTGGTCGGGAACTCTGCAGACTGTGAGTGCTGCCGGGGCATGGGCTGCAAACTGCTCGCTCACTCCCTTTGACAGATAGGTCACTTGGAACCTTCAGGGAAACGCCCAGGGTGAGTGTGAATTATTGGTCCCTGGCCCCTGATTCAGTATTTTCCTAATACTGTACTTGGGAACCAGGGAAAATTCACAGATGGAAAGATTCACAAAATCTCTGGAGTAAGTGAAACTCAGAGCTAAGAACCATACCCTAAATTCATGAGAGTCTCCCTGAGGTCTTTGGGTTGAGCTTGGGGCCAGGGAGGATCATAAGCTGACTGGTCAATAACCTGAGCTTGTCTTATATTTCCAGAGGATCTGGGGGGTGGGATTAGGACAGTTGTGCAGTCTTTAAGGAAATTTTGGATTTTAGAGCCTAGGATGGATAAACCCTGTCCAACAAGTAGTTGCTGAAAAGTGCCACCGAGCTTTAGAATTGGAAGTGAGCTTAGATGTCATTTTAATATTCATTTACATGTAATCATTCTGCTCAAGTAATGGAAAAATAAACACAAAGCCAACTCCATTTCTGTACCCACTGCCCCTTTCAGTTTATGGAGTAGGATTAGTTCTTTGTGGACCCTGGACAAAAAGTTGGGTAATACAAGTCCTCTTGTCAATAATTAAAGTGCCCAGTCCAGTGAGTGGTCCAAACTCAGAATCTGGTTGAATGTGCAGCCTTTCCCTTGCTTTGGGTTAGCCTGCTGCCGTGGGGCATGTGCAGGTTGGGGAAGAGGGCGCAGTTGGCTCCTATCCCCTCTCTCCACTTCTCATGCTTCTACTCTGACCCTCCAACTCACTAGCTAGGCTTTCTGTACCACCCAGGGGAGGCGAGTGTGAGAGAAATTCTGTTGGAGGAAAGTTTTCCATCAACTACATCATGCTCCCTGGGTACTACAGCCCGGTGGGACATTTTCACAGGTTATTTGAAGACTTCCAATCACCTGTCCCATCACTGAATATCCTTCTCAAGGTTCCCTTGAGGTGGGCAACGCATTTCCCTTCTGCCTGTTCCTACTTTCTCTGCCCTGGCCTCTCTGGCTGTTCTTTTAGCTTCTCTGCTGGGATGCCTTCCCCCCTCCAGGCAGCTTTTTCAAACAGCATCTAAAACACCCCCACACCAATTGACTTTCTCTTGCTTGGTCCCTGGCAACATGCAGCATGCTTTGCTCTTCAAAACCCTCGTAGTTCCCTTCTAGCCCCATCTGCTCCCTGCTCTCTCATCTCCACATTTCAAGCCTCTGCACTCCCCACCTGTCAGGAAGCCGGCTGTCCTCTGTGTCCCCCACATGGAGGTGCTTTCCAAGGACAACTCAGGGACCAAAATTATAGGGGACACATCCCAAGCTGACCAGTTCTGGTGGATTCAAGAGGCGAGAGGTGAAGGGGGGCTGCCCCACTGTCCTTCAAGAGGCACTCACTTCTCCCTGAATCTGCCTCAAATCCCTCTTCCAACCTCTATGCTCCCAGTGGATTCCTATGAAGGGTCAAGAGTCATGTAACTCTAGCATCTGTAAATTCTGCACATGGTTCCGGACGGACTTTGGAATATGGGAGCTACTGTCTGTTGTGTCACAGACTGATGTTCTCTTCAGCGTCCTGGTACACGTCCACACACACGCCTTGCTGAGGGCCTGCTGCGGCATCATACCAGGGGTTAAGGACATGGTGACGGACAGCATATGCCCTGCCCCACAGGAGTTAGGGTCCAGTTGGGGAGTGGGCAAATAAAGCAAACACAAAAACAAAGTGAGATTAGTGCTGCTTGTGCCCAGATGTCCAGATGCTGGGAGCTTCTCACCTAAACTGCAGGGAGCTTGGTATGTCCTAGAAAATGTCCAGAACTGCCACTCAGCTCCCTTAACTTCCAGACCAGGGCTCTCTTACTGACTCCGGCTGTAGCCCATGAGCTACCCAGTTAGTGCCTTCTGTCCGAGTTGCCAGCTAATGACTAATTTATCCAGGGGAGCCAAGTGATTAGGAAGCACAAAAACAACCTGGTGAGGCTCCAGCCTGGCTCTATCAGGGATGTGGCTGAGGAGTCTGCCCCGTGGTCATTGCTGGGGGGATGTTCAGGGAGCCGAGAAGCGAGGTGCTGTTTTGTGTGTAAGGTGCCTTCCCCCATGTCCTCAGCAGCATCTGTGTCTTGTTTTGATCAAGTGTCAGCTCCCCTAGAATGAGGCTCCCTGGCTCAAAACCACACACAGTCCTTTCCACCCAGGGACTTGGCAAAAGGTCCACTGGGTGACAAAATGAGCTCCTTTCAGGCAGTGATGAAAGCTAGATTTGACATCTGTTCAAGGGCCTCTCAGAAACATTTGCGACAACACAACAGTCTGAAGAGCAGGCTTTGTAAATCAGCGGGCTCCATCTGGGCGCTCATTGCTCTGCGCCTGAGCCCCAGTGGCCTGCAGGCCTGGATCTGGCCAGCACAGTTCACAGCTAATACACAAGCCTGCACAAATTTTAGGTGAGACACAGGCCGCCCCGCAATGTCCTGTACACCTGGGCTTGGAAGCACGTGACAGCTTTCTGTCCACACAGTGGAGCACAGGCATAGTGTATAGTTTCTCTCTGAATAAAAGCCTTTTGGAATTGGTATTGCGATTACATCATTCTTTACTCCCTGTTTCAGGAGGGAAGATAATTCCCCCTGTACATCCATGGGGTAGGAAGGAGAATCAAAGTGCCTGTTCTTTAACATGGGTCCCGACCTAGGCCGCATGCTCCCAATGATTTCCCCGGAAGACCGTGGAGCGGTCGCCTTTACCACAGGCCTGAAAGCTGAGACGTTGTCTCTGCTCTAAAATCCCAAGGTCTCTGCAGGAAGGAGTGGCGAGTGCTCAGCCCACCCCACTGAGAAGGCGCTGGGAAGGGGACACTGCAGGATAAGCCCGCAAAGTGATGACATTAGGCTTCCTTCTCCATTCCACTCAGGCCCAGAAGGGCCGGGGGAAGGAGACTTCCTTGAAAGCTATTGATAAATTCTAGGCAGGGAGATGGGATGGGGTGGGGGAGGAGGGCACTGATTCTGAAGTTTTGGATTAGGCCTGTGCTATTTGCTTAACAGATAACTAAAACTGAGTGTTTACTACATCACATCCCAGATCTCGCTCTAAGAGCTTTGCGCAAACTACTGCTTTAAAAATTGATCACAGCCTTGAAGAGAAGGGACCTTGAGGTTCCACAGCTAGAAGTGCAGGACTTGGGATGAGTTTTGTCGTCAGCCACCACGCAGGCGCAGCAGGTAGAGGAAAGCTGACCTGGGGCCCAGGAAGGGCCCGTCTAGCTGGTGCTGCAGGTGTCATTCACCTTCAGAAGCCCTACCCTTGAGCGCAGGGACCTCTTTTGGTCCGCAGCATTGGCCATGCTCTCCCATCCCTAGTTTGGGACTGGAATTTGTGGAAATAGTGCTGCTCAAACAACAAGAACTTCCCCCAAGGAGCCTTAGGGGGAGAGAGAGAGCTTGCACAGGATGTACCTATTGGGCCCGGGCACTGTGGAAGGGCACCGGCAACCTTGACCATATATCTACACTGTTCAGTATAGCACAGACACCATTACCATTTAGCTGTGGAAGGCAAGACAGACACTGTCAGCCTGCCTGGCCTGGGATTCTGAGGTTAGGATGACACATCACAGGGTCAGGGGATGGAGTGTCATGTCTGGGACCCATCCAGGACAGGAGGGTCTGATCGCCACTGGAGAAGTAAAGCACGGAGCCCGTTAGGAGACTGAAATGATGGAACAGGTGTTTGCTATGCACTCAAATGAATCTCTTTATAATAACCTCGTTATGAGTTTTAGGTGAAACAAACAAACAAAATCCCCAAACCCTCTGTTATTGAGACTCACAGTGGGAGCTCTGAGAACCTTCAGGTAAGGCTTAGGGATTCTGTTTCTTGTTCAGAACCTTGATCTAATATTCAGCTAACAGAATCATCTGCACTACCTGCAACTAGAGAGCAAAACCTACCCGAGAGAGGTGCCGACTTTTCGAGTCCACAGCGTGGGCTGTCCCGATAGCAGGCACCCTCTGGGCCTCCCTGTCACCTTTTAGTCCCCAAGTCTTACACTGGGGACTGCTTGAGTAGCCTCCCCGACCAAGAAATAAAATTTAACCTAACTCACAAAAAAGTGGCAGTACAATATAAAAAGTTACAGCCACGGGGAGTTCTGTGTTGTCTGACCAAATACAGAGGGCCCTCAGCCCACAGCTGTGCAGAATGAAGTGATCCTTTCACGGGTTGTCCCACTGGTCTGATGCCCCCAATTTCAGATTCAACATGTGTCACTCTATCCTCCTGAGCAATGTCAGGTTAGTAGCTAGAGAGTGCAAATCCAATGATGCACGGGGACCACGGGACCCTGAGCAACAAACGCGAGCCCCTGGATATAACTGATGGTTCTTTCTTAATAGATGTAGCGATTTCATCATCTATGACCAATTGATAAATTGGTTCCTTAATAACCTACTGAATGTGGAAAACAGCAGGAGAAATAGGAAAGCGAATCGTCTGTGGACAGTCGCACCTGCAGAAGGACCCTGGACTGGCTCACATGCCCCGCATGCTTCCAGGAAGGTAACAATGTTCACCATCTCACCCAACACTTGGCATTTCTTTTTAATGCAAATTTGCATGTGCTTTGGAAAAACACCGTGCAAACCTTCCCTCCCGAGGTTGCTTTCACTCATCCTAGAGCATCATCATGACTGAGTTCATCCACTTACAGGTTTCCTGATCTATTCCACATCTCACTAAAAATTTCCTAAGAACAGGATTGCCCCTTATACATCTTTGAAACTCCACTGTACTCAGCGCAGGCCTTTGCACACAGGGGGTCTTCAAATACCTGTTTCTTAAATTAATATAGTTCCACTAGAGAGCTATCTGTTATCTCTTGTAATTCAGAAATATTAAAGAAATTTCATGACATTTCATCTTGTAAGCCATTTCCACACTGAAACGACACCCTAGCATTTCCAATGCTGGTAAAATATCCATCCCTTCATACTTTCTGTAAAATTGCCATTTCCATCCATTTAAATTGATGGACTCAAGACTTTGGTCTGCTCTTGTGTGGATAACTTCCATATTCCACCTCATATCTTTAAAGTCCTAAAACCCACAAAAGGCTCTCAGGAAAGTCATGAGAAATGAAAGAGTGGATGTGTGAAATGTGTGGTTTAATTTTGCCTTCAGATTTGGGTCTCTAGTGCATCCTGGTACTAAAGGCACCCTCCTATACTAGGGACAGGGTGGTGGCCACTTTCGTGATATACCTATTTGGAAACCCAGTGCCTCAGATTGCACCCTCAGAACTTTATGTTATTGGGAAAGATTAGGAATATGAATCAGCTCCATGCTAAGATGCTCAGAGATGATTCTAGCTCACCCTTCTTGATTGATGTCTATACAGCTCATCAGTATCTTCTCGAAAGTGAACTTGAACACTTAGGTGTTTGGAGTGCCACAGACATCCAGTGATGGCCTGGAGCATCTGGGCCTCACCCAGCCCACCGCCCAGTCCCGGCTGCCAGCCCCGCCTCATCTCACCTCATTCTTCAGGCTCCTGGCCAGGAAGTGCTCAGCCACGTGCGCAGGAAGCACGTTCTCCAGCAGCACGCGGTTCAGGTTCTCCATGGTTTCTATCTCCTCCCGCTCTTTATTGAATTTGTTCTTCCATAAGAAGTCTAACCTACAGTAATATTCATTCTGTTACAAGAGGACACAGAGGTAAAGAAACAATAGGCATCTTGTCCTGCCAGAGAGTGGAGGTTTTAAAGAGAAAATAAAAAGAATGAAACAAAACCAAATAAAGAACCCCCAAACAGAATTGTCACGTTCCCTGCAAAGTCCACTGTTCCCTGAAAACGCCTCTCACTCAACCTCTAACACAGATTTGCAAAAAACAAGTTCAGGAATGAACCAGCCTCAGGAACAGTGGTTCCAGAGAAAATAGCTATGTTGGAGGCTTGTAAGAAAAAAAAAAGATATGAACTCTTCTTGCTTAGTTATGTTAATAAAAGATAGCTTGAATTATTTTTTGAAAATAGGCATAGTAGAATATAAATAATAAATAAATTAAAAATGGAAAACATATTAGAGAGAGTGCATTGTTTGATGATTTGTATTTAAAAAATAATAGTGTTCATTTGTGGCAGTTTGCCTTTAATATTTAAAAATCAGTTTTCCCCACCACAAATTATATAATAAAGTATTCATTGAAAAATATGCACTTTTATTTGGTATTTCATTGTACTGAGAGAATTACATTACGCTTAGACAAACGTTCATTTTGCTATCATTTACTTAAGATGGCGCCTGGTAATACAAACATGTGCAAATGCTTTATAATGTATTAAAACTTAATGTTTTTAGAAAACCAGTTATTAACATTGTGGAAATAGAGAGGCCTGTTTACTGTCAAGGGGCCTCTGATTTGGCATCATTTTGTGACAGCTATGATGTATATAATTAATATAATGAAATAGACAGGTGGATCCTCCTATAACAGATGGTAGAGAGCGTGTATTTCAACACAGATAGTAATTTATTGACAAATAAATGCAAAGAACTAGATGCAGGGGGTTTGTTTGTTTTATGGTTTGGTTAATTATACCAGTGGCAGTACAAAATAAAAACAAAACAACACACACACACACACACACACACAGCCTCTCAGGAAGAGATGATAATTTTAAAAAATCCACATTCTGATTCCAAAGAGCAATTATCACTCATCTATTAGGTTTGATTAAACTATGTATGATCCACTAAAAAACTGCTACTCCTTCTCTGGTGTGGTATTTATTTTTGTCTCACATAGCCATTTTTTAAAAATAAAAGACTGCAAGCGATATTTCAAGTTTGTTTACGTGCACTTTTTACATTAATGCCAAATTTCCCACATTGAACATTTATGGCAATCATGCTGGGCACTTACTAGAAGTGGCCTTTTGCTTGGAGAATAGGTTATTTATTTGGGTCTTTTGGGGGATAAACCAGTGATGTGACTGGTTTTAAACTAAAATGACAGGGACATCTATGGTGGTGGCATAGAGAAGACACAGATTTACACTCAAGATCAGACAGAGAGGGAACATGTGGTGAAACCAAGCAGCCAGCAGGGCCGGCGGCGAGCTCCGTTCCTGCAGGTTTGAAAGGCTTCCATAAACCATACGAAGAGGCTGCTCAGGTTTTCCAAGTGATCACTCTTCCATCACAGGCAAGCATTTTGTAACTCTTTTAATAAAAAGAACCGGAGCACTTTGGGACCAGCTACATTGGACTGAAAGTGACATTTTGCCAAATCACCTCCTCACCTCCCTGGCAATGCTCTCTGCTGTGGAATCCTTTCCTTGATGTGCAGGCACATTAGAAACTCCAAGCAGCGTGGAGACCCGCAAAGGAAGACAATTGTTTCTATCCCTAACCAGTTGTCATGGATTAAATGGTGCTCCTCCACTCCCAAGACAGTTCCAAGTCCTAATCTCTAGTATCTGTGACTGTGACCTTCACTGGAAGCCATGTCTGTAGATGTAATTAACTGCAGGATCTCAGGATGAGCTCATCCTGGATTTAGGGTGGGCTGTGAATCCAGTGACTGGGGTCCTTATAAGAGAAGTGAGAGGGAAATACAGATATGGGGTATGGCCATGTGAAGAGACCCAGCAGAGAACTAGCAGTAAGCCACCACCTTCTTGAAGCTACATGTCACTTTCAATAAAACAGCAGCTCTGCTGTGACCCCCTATTCCTCACATTGTCACCCATCTCTCAGATTCTGTCTGAAGCTACTCTCAAGTTCTCAGGGGCCCCGATCCAACTCAGAGACATGCCATTTTGCTCTTCATTCTCTCGGGCAATGGTGGGAGAAAGCAGGGAGCCTGGAAGAGGCATCCCAGCCCCATGAGGACCCATGGACCCTCGCTACTGGGTTTCACATTGCAGCACAGCCTCCAGGGCAGTTTTGTGCTTTGTCTAGTTCTGAAAACAAGCTGAGAAACTGGAAGGCTTTACAGCTTCCTATTGTCCATGGACAGAAGTGTCCCTGACGGCTGCAGGAAGCATGTGATCCTCCTTTGCTTGGATTCTGAACTTTCACATACAGTGACATCAGCCTCTCAGGGCACTAGACTGCTACCTGCATGGTTCCATATCTTAAATGAGCCCACACAGAATGCAGGCCCCGACAGCAGTGTGCTGTTTAAACGTGGCAGAGATACAGGGAATCTTCCCTTTTCAAAAAAGGCCCTTGTGTTTGCCAGCCTTTCCATCACAAACTGGATTTCAGTACAGAGAGCAGCACTGTGGCTCTTACACAGGCCATGCGTTATGTTTTCAATAAGAATTCTTAGAAACCCACAGCAATACTTACTACACTAGTTTGCTCAGAAAGCAAACACATCACGACCATTTCAAAAAAGCTGGTCATGGGACAGAGGTGCCGTTAGGACAAATGACAACAAAAATAAGTCACAAAATGGCTGTGCTATGGTTTACAAAATCATTCAGGAAATATATCTCCGTGGACATGAATATATAAGAAACTTAAAAACCTTATTTCAAATATTGGATGTTTGTTTATAGTATACTTGTCTTTCTGGAAGAGTGTGCAGAAACACTACATCTCAGATTTCACAGTTCTTATTAGCCTAGAAGACTTGGCATTAGCAAATCATTCTCTTAATGATGTTGGATTGAAGGTCAGCCTCCTGGCTCACCTTAATATATCCTTGGTGACAGGTGTTCAAGGATGACTGTGAACATGATTACTCTTGCGGGGAGGAGTGACTTTCTAGGCCTCTAGATGTACGTATTATTGTTACATTAGTGACAAAAAAGGACTGACTCCCTACGAGATTGGCATCAAAACTACTGTGTTAAATTAATTCCCAACCATAATATTAATACCTTTAATTATCTAAAATCCATTAGAAAGTAACAGATCAATGGGTAATCACTGGATTTAACCACATTTACGTAGTGGGATGGAATGTTTATCATCTCAGTGATCAATAAAAATGTGGGACAATTCAATTTTAATTCTAGATTCTTAAAATGTAGCAATCTGAGTGAAGATTCTAACAGGAGAAAATGTAGGATAAAACATCCCACGCATGAAATGGAGAAAAAACAAGTGACTTCACAGAGGGGATGGCCAGATTGTTTCCTGAGGGATGATTGTTTAGGTGATATTCTGCAAGGAAGTCCAAAGCTCTCACGTCTAAATTATAGGCTTTCCTGAGGGAGGACATGCCTTTTCTATAAGAGTGAGAGCAGATAGCTGGCTTGTCAACAGCGGAAAAACCCAGGTAGCAGGAGAAGCAAATGAAACCAGGAGAAAAGAACACTACAGTGTAACAGGCTTACAGAAATGTGCAGGTTGTCAAAAATGCAAGCCAAAGGAAGCAGAACCAAGCAGGTGCCAGGGACAGCGGCCAGGAAGGGCTGGAGGGACACAGGGATCTCCAAAGCTCTGCAGCAGGACGATAGCTCAGCTCCAGGGAGAGTGCTGAGGACAGCCCGGTGAGCTCCTTGGGCAGGCTGCCACTGGCACTGCTCGGGGAGATGGGAAGCGACAGAGGTTCCCTGCTGCTGGGCTGGCAGCCACTGGTCTGGTCTCTGCCCTGGCTATTAGCAGCTTCCTGCTGTTTAACAGCTCAATGATGTGTCTATAATTCAAATGGATTTGCATTGTGGGGAGTTATTTCCAAATTAATCACTACTGGTTTTCATGTTATCTATCAAAGAACTCAAGGCAAATTTTGGTTCAGGCGGAGTCACCAGGCATGAACTGAGTCTATTCGTTGGTAAGTGTTCTTGTGTGCAGACAGAGGAAGAAAAGTGTTTTTAAAAATCTGGCATCCACAGGCTCTGCTGGGAGACTAGTAGGGAGTGAGGGGGCCACAGGGAGAAAGAGTAGTTTCATTTGCATCATAAAATAATATTTTTGAACAAAAGAGTATATTTCTAGGAACAATTACAAGTGACAGTGGAGGTATTCATATGCACTTCAAAGAAAAAGAAGCATATTATACATTCTAAAAAGCAAATGAAATCCTAGGCAAGGGAAAGTTGTTTGTTTGTTTGTTTTTCAAATAGTGTCAGCTATTGAGGGAAAACTTTTTTAGGCTTATGAAACCTACAAAATGTATTTTGAGATTTAATAAGAAATTAATTGACTCACATCTTTACCATTCACAAAGTTTGCCACGAGTGGAAAAAAATGAGACCTTTTTCCTTTTGTCTGCATCTAAGCCACACATCCTGTGCTACCCACTCTCTCCTAAGTGATAAGAAGACTGATGTTTCAGCACTTGTTTGCATGAAAGTAACTACAATGCACATCCTCAAGGTATTAGTAATATAACACTTAGAGAAGTTATGTAAAAAACCAGACTTCTTACCTGTCTACCCAGAACAAGCAGTGTGATGAAGAATATAAAGAGAGACACCGAGCCCATGGTCTTCAGGTCTTTCCAAATGCCTGGTCTATTAAAAGACAAATAGACAAAAAACAATACAAAACAACATACACACAGGATGTGGAATTTGAATTTGTGTATCAGCCAACTTCAGAAACTCTAGTGTATGTCTACATTTTACTCTAGCCAAACACACACACACACACACATTTTAAATTTATCTTCAAACCCAGATTACATCAAAACAAAACCTTATTTTGAGCTTCGTAAAAAGTTCTTCCAAATTGATATAATTTCTTATTTTATACCAAGCTGTAACAAATAGAAGAGGAAGGAATATTAATCATATGTTTTATAGTTCTGGGATCAATGTGGATAATTTGATATATAATATATTCAAATTTTCAGTTATTATTCTCATAAAATAGTATGCTAGAAATTAATAATCATGTGAGGTATAAAAATGAACTAGGGAACTTCATTTCTACAAGATATTTCAACCTATGAATAATATACTCTCATATAACTTTCTCAAAGGTACCTGCTCTTATCCTCTTTCATATGATTTTATATCACAAGTGCATAACAAAGATGGAAGACCCTGGTCCATTGGCCCACTTCCCCCAGGCCCAGGTAGACATCAGCAAATTACCCCTGCCCACATTATCACCATGCTGGCTGGGCCCTCCGTCCTCACCACTACATTCCAGGCAGCGACCATCCACACATCCCAGCTGGCATGGTGGTGGTCAATTTTATGTGTCAATTTGAGTGGGCCACAGGGTGCCTGGCTATTTAGTCAACTATCACTCTGGGTGTTTGCGTGAGAATTTTGTTGTTGTTGTTGTTAAATTCAACATTTAAGTTGGTAGGCGAAGTAAAGCAAGTGTCCTCCAGAATGTGGGTGGGCCTCACCCAAGCAGTTGAAGGCTGAAACAGTAGAAAAGGCTGACCTTCCTTTGGGTAGGAAAGAATGCTCTCTTGCCTGATGGTTTTCGAACTAGAACATCAAAATCTCCGGGTTCTACAGCAGCTCCTGGCTCTCACACTCAAACCGGGACACTGGCTTTGCAGGTTTGGGACTTGCCAATCCCCACAATCATGTGAGCTAATTCCTTGCGATAATCATATCTTATCTCCTGCTGGTTTTGTTTTTCCTGAAAACCATGACAAATACAGCATGCAAGGAGAAATCTGCAGCCATCCCCAGGAGAGTTCTGTGTAGGCTGACAATGATTTCCCATGTATTTCTGTGAGACCTGAAAAAAAGTTGATTTGGTATGGAGACTGTGTCACATAAGCATCATAAATTGTATTAAGTATAAGTATCATGTAATCACTTTCTGCTTGTGAGATGAAGTTGCTTCGAGATTTTCCTCTTTCTCCATGAAAGGTTTCAAGTGCTGATGAGATAGAGGAATCGGTCCACAGGCCAAAGAGCTCAGGTGGGCTTTGAAGTAAGATAGTCCCAGTTGGAATCATGGCTCCACCTTCTCTACTGAGCTGTGGGATTTGGGATTAACACATCGAAACCCCACTTTCCTCAACAGCCAAAGGAGGTACCAATACCTACTTGAAGAGCTGTTTCTATCACTAACTCAAATACTATATATACACCTGGCACAGAGCCTGACCCATGGGAAGCCCTTCATAAATGGCACTTGTGACTTTTAGTATTAACTACAAAATGATGAGGGAAGGAAATGGAGCTAGGAAGGCAGAGATAAAGATATGCAAATGCTGATTGGTGAATATCATTAACAGCATGAAAGGTCCAAGTGCAAAAGAAAAGTGGACTCCTGCAGAAATGAGGACACAATTGCCCAGTCCTTGTGGTTCAAGGGCTTAGGACCTCTGAGAACTCTCCAGAAATTAGCTGTGCTTGCATTCAGGGCCCTTTCCCCCCCAGCTATGGCTGGGAGAATCTGAGCTCATCAGCTGTAAGGAGGTCTTCAGTTTCTCTTAGAGAATGAAGTACACTGAAAAGTGCCATTTTCCTGTCTCATTAGCATTGATTTTAAGAAATGAAGTCCCTTTCTGAGTCTGTGGCAGCTGTGTCTAAGCACAGTTGAAGTGACTCAGGGGACCAGTTGTTTATAAACAATGCTGACTTCAATGAATGTTCAACTCATTCTTTCTATGTTGACTATATTGACATGATCTTGATTAGTTAGTGAAAAGTGGTACGACACAGCCAATAGCCTAAGGTGCTGGTGTAGGCTGAGTTTTTAATTTCCATGTTGCTTCATGAACATCCTGTTACTTTACAATGCCAGGGGTCTGAGAAAGCAGCTATGCCACCCCATCTTCCACCTACCACCCCTATATGTCCCAAACTAAAAGTGAAATGTTGATTCCCCAATCAGGATCTTGTAATAGCATCATCAGTACAACAATCGGCACTCAGGTCCCATTGGCATTCACAGGAAAGGGACCAGATGCCCCAAACATGCAAAACCAGCTCAGGTCCCTCTCATGGTTGGAGAGTAGGAGGGAAGGCCCCTGTAATGCAGTTCATGGCCTGCCTGGGTTTGCAGTGAATTACACACAAAATACATGGGAGCAACCTATGGGAACAATCCTTTTCCAGAATTCCTCACATTAGTGCATTTGAACACTGGCTTAGGGGTGGAAGTGTCCTGCCCTATCCATCTCATATATCTTGAGCCTTTGTGAAGAATAGTGGTAGCTAGAGATGAGGACCTGGAGAAAGTAAGACAAGAGAGAGCTTTCATGCTAGACTGGGCAGTGGCTTTGAAAATATAGACCCAAAGGAACCTCAGACATAAGAAGTCACAACCCCGCCCATAGAACAGACTCATGTACCAAACATGGATGCCTTTTTCCCTTCTGAAATTCTCTGTACTACAAGGACTGCATCTTGCTTTCATGGGTTTCATTTAGATGTCTTTAAAACTTCTTTTATTTATCTAGCCAAAAAGAGTTGCCTACTCCTACTGGGTCCCTTCTCGCCCGTGGGGGCCTCTCACAGACGCACGCTGTCAGGGCTTCTGTAGTTTGAATGATGAATTTCTCCATCTCCAGATCCATTCCTGGGATAGCTTGCTCCTTGTGTGTATGTGAGGGAGTGGAGGAAGAAAGGAACGTGTAGTGCGGAGGGAGCATTGGAACAGATGGAATAAAAGTATGGGATGTCCTCCTGGAAGAGTCTAGTCAACTATGTGGATCATTATAGTAGCTTCCCAGGGCTGCCAAAACAAGGTGCCACACACTGGGTGGCTTAAAACAATAGGAATTTATTGTCTCACAGTCTGGAGGACAGAAGCCTGAAACCAAGGGGCTGGCAAGGAGATGCTCCCCCTGAAACTTGCAGAAAAATCCTTCCTTGCCTCACCCTTGCTTCTGGTGGTTGGCAACCAATTTCTGGTGCTCTTTGGCTCACTCCAATCTCTGTCTTCAAATCACACAATGCCTTCCCAGTGAGTCTGTCTTCGCATGGCCATTTTCTTATAAGGACACCTTATCTTAACTAATTACATCTGCAATAACCCTGTTTCCAAGAGTCACATTCAGAGGTATGGGGGTTAGGACTTCTACATGTCTTCTTTTCGGGGACACATTTCAACACATAAAAATGGTGTTAGCCATTAACATAAAAAAATGACATTTAGTTAGATATGAAGCCTCTGACTCTTTTTCTCTTTCTCCCCTTTAAGTTTCAAAAACAAAATCCACTTTGGAATTTCGCATGTAAGGGTTGTACTTTCAGTGAGTTATAAAGTAGGGGAGACAGAGCTGATATAACTGAGAAAGTTTCTAACTCTATGATTCTTGGTGACAGTTCCAGCCAAAATATGACCAAATATGCTTCCTTTAATGCCCGAAATTGGACTCTGGAGATGTGGGTATCCAAATACGCCTGTAGCCACACATTAATTTACAGATGACCCTCACCCTGATGCTGTAATGGGGCATTCATTCAGGCCTTCAAGTTTTGAGACTCCAAAAGAGCAGAGAAACCTAACAAACTGGGTGCCAGATAACGAGGGATTACTTGGTGAATCAGTTTCTAACCTAAAGGCAAACAGTTCTGGTGAGGGAAAAATGACATTTTCATTGTCTCAGGAGAAAAAACGGTTCAGGCATACGGGCACAAACATAATCTTTAAAAATTTTTATTTTGTCCTACGTGAAATGAGCCTCTATTTTTTTAATAAAAAAGTACCTCAAGAAATCAAGTTATCTGTTAATTTGGTAACTGTAGATAAACTGAGGTGAAAGTGTGTTATATATATTTATATATCTCACATATTCTTTATCTGTTCATGTACTGACAGAAACTTTGGTTGTTTCCATATCATGGCTATTGTGAGTAATGCTGCAACTAACATGGGAGTGCAGATATCTCTTTGAGATCCTGATTCTGATTTCTTTAGAAATATACCACTGGCCGGATTACTGGATCATATGGTAGTTCTGTTTTTAATTTTTTGAAGGCCTTCCATATTGTTTTTCTAGTAGCTAAAGCACTTTATGTCCTCATCAATAGCGTACAAGGATTCCCTTTTATCTACATCCTTGTCAACACTTGTTTATCTAATGTCTTTTTGATGATAGCCATTCTAACAGGTGTGAGGTGATATCTCACTGTGGTTTTGATTTGCACCTCCCTGATCAGTGACGTTGAGCATCTTTTCATGTACAGGTTGCCCATTTTGCAAGTCTTCCCTGAAAAAAATGCTCCACGCGTCGTGCTCCCTCTAGTGGCAGGATTCTTAAGCTTGTAAGCCTTGTCTCCTAACAATGCACCACACCAAGTGCGGACAGCTTCCCTTTTGTTTTCCCAGACAAAACATCGTAACGTTCCGGTCCCCATATTTGGGTCCCTTTTCTGCGGGTGCTCACTAGCCACCTGCCAAAGCTCGCTCTCTCCATGGCCTCTGGGAGTGCACACAGGGGCTGGCCACAGAGCAGAGGTGGGGGATCCATGGGTGAGCTCTTCCTGGTGGCTTGTGGGCAGGCTGCTTGACAGAGGCCTCAGTGTAGCTAGTAGAATCCCTTTAAATGCTCTCAGGAGGTCCTATCTTCCCCTCTTCAGCCTCTTCC